GCGAATAGTGTAAAATATAATAAACTTATTCGGAAAAAAACTAAAACTTCAAATGACAGTTTGTATACTTGTTCTCGTAACATTACTTATGAATTGAATAAAGAATCAAAATGTTTCTCTTGGGCATCCAAGGTTAATTATAAAATAATTTATCACAATACATTATCGATCTATTACTCTTTCAGCGTATTCTTCTTTAAAAATAATTCAAAATTACGAGAGATATTTACTAAATCACTTTTACTAAGTCACGATATCTTTTATTAAGTCACGAGATACAGAAATGGCGACAACTAGGAGAAATCAAAACGATCATATCGGGCATTGTAGCGTTAATCATATTTTTTTAATAGAATGAAAAAAATTGAATAGAGAATTTAGATCATTTATATAAGATTATTCATATGAGATATAAGAGAAACTTAGGAAATTCATGTCTAACAGATAATTCTATAGAGTGAGTGGAAGATATTAAAAAAGGATTAATAAATAAATATTTCATAAATCGTTTCTAATTTATCAGTGTGTTAAAGTATACTTATAAGCACTAATCGTTTACCACCATCGTAGATTATACAGCGCGCAATGTAGTGGCGGTATATATTAAAACGTGTCGATGAACTTCCTCGGTGAACTTCCCTCGTATTATCATGATAATGACGGCACGTTCTCGTACGCGCACGACGGGACAAAGCTTAAGGAAGCGAGTCATTAAATACACACACAAAGAGAGAGAGAGAGAGAGGGACAGAGAGAGAGAGCTGCTATAGAATAAAACGGCAGTATAATAGCAACGTTAGAATACGCTTTGTATGTCGGGCAATGTTGCAGTGGGTGATTTTATGTAAAGTGTGCGACTTAACGATTCGCTTTGTTATGATCACGCGATGAAAAATGATGGACGTTTGACGCAGCCAATCGAGAAGGAAACACGCTGACTAGCTCACTGAGGTGAAAACAAAGGAGTGAGAAGGAAGGGTTGAAACACAAGAGGCAGACAGCATCTACGGGGTGCAAATCAATAGTTCATTCGTAAAGATCGCAAAAACTCGTACAAAGCGAGAGGTTTCTTTGCGCGAAACGTTGTGCATTTCCTGGTCTCGCGTAACAGGAGAGCTGCGGCTCTAACGAATCTGCGATTTTGAATTAATCGAGACTGCCGGCGTATTAAATTCCTTTAATCTCGATTTCTCGGGGCGGGCCCGCAGCCAGGTCGACGATGCTGAAATCGGTTCTCGCGATTGCGAGGAATATTGACAATAAAACGTCCCGCCGTTCATTCTCGTTACCGCGACAAATAATAATCTCGTACCGCAGTGCCGGATGTAAGCCGGGGATAACACTATCGTATATATTTCCGGCCGGCGTTTATCGCGCGTTATCGCGACAACACAGTGAGCGACCTGCGGAGTCAACGGAGGAGTACTATCGTAAGAAATATTAAGGTTCGACGAGAAGAGAGAGAAAGAGAGAGAGAAAAAATCGAAGAAACCGAACCGGATGTTCGAATGGTCCATAAAACACGATGGTTGAATTGGCCCAAAGTCCTGTGACGCGCACCAGGACGGCGCGACGCGGTGTGAAAAATGTCCTAGCGACCGTGCCGCGATCGAAATGAAACGATCGTATTATTACTTGGGTGTGGTAGGAGTTATATACCGCAGGTCTTAGGTACCCCGAAAGTTTTTTCGTTCCTGAAGTTTTTACAACGATCTGCACTCAATCAGGGACGGATGGTGACATTTCCGAATCGGATGCTAATATTGTTGCAATCACTCAAAGGAATGTTCTACCGGTTCAGATAGGATTCTAAATGTCACAGTTGAAATTTATCGCTATTTTTTACGCCTGCTAGAAAATTGTCTGTTCTACGTAGATTATCGAATTTACAGCGGCGGCATTCTAGTAACATCGGCAAGTAAATTTAGATGGATGTGAGGATCATACATTCGTTTGCCTTTCGTCTCAGCAGTCTTTTTCGTCTATCACAGTATATTTTTATATGAAGTGTGACTGGCTTTTTTAACCTGGATGGGCGCCACAGAGAGACTTTCTTGCTAAATTTCATAAACAGAAATTCCATCTCTATCGTCTATATTAATTAAATACAAAATACAAACGATATCGCGGTGTTTGCTAGTCATTTATCTATTTTAGCTAATTTTTAAATAATTTTTGCTATATGATTGAATATTTTTTTTTAGTGAAGTGTCTTTTATCCGGGAAGGAAATCACAATTACGAGAAGTCAAAACAATGATGAAACTTAATTTTGTTATTATGTCTCTTTAATCTATTCGTGATTACTGATAGCTGGCCTTTTTTGTATGAAAAAAAATGATAGATTACGTACAAGAAAGAGTTTAATTGAATTAACGTAACATGTTTAGTTAAATATGTTGTAATGGAGCTAAACAGAATTTTTGATTATTGTAATGATATAATTTAGTATAATAAGAACGCATTTAGGTATAATACCGCAATCATAGATTTTAGTTACTGCGTATCTAATCTAATCTGCATATTTACCATTAAATCTAATATTTTACGCGCGTAAATCTTGAATATGCGGCTCTGGGAGGAATTAACTTTACAAAGCTCATCTTATCGTTTTACGCGCGAGAGCGTTGTCATATTTTTAATTAAATTAGCAAGCAAACTACTGCAAAATATAATTTTAATCTAAATTACTTTTCTTTTACGATATTAAATTATATTGTTAAAAAATTATACAAATGCGTTAGTTGCAACATATGTAGAGATAATATCTAACAGATCTATCGATTAGAGAAACTGCATAGTGCGTAAGGCAACTCATAATCCAAAGATTTCAGATTTAAAACTCATCAGGGTAAATATGAGTTTTGTCGCGATCTTCTTTTTGCCGAAGCTTCCATATTTAACTAAATGTGCGGTTACTTTAATTAAAGTACACACACACAAAAATGTAATCAAATATAATCAAATTTGTCTGGTTAGTATTATGGATCGTTCATATTTTATTAAATAGTTTAGTTAATTTACTGAGACTTCAGATTAATTCAATTAATTTTTTTCGTGCACAAAAATCACCAAAGAGTAGTTGAAAACAACAATAGTAGTTTGGAGAAAGTTTTGGCTTGAGAGAAATTCTAAGAAGAATAATACCTTAAAACATCTATTATTGTTTCTTATCTTCTCTGTTGAATCGCTTTCATCTATCAAAAGAATGAAAATCTTTATTTGGATGGCAGTTTTCCAAGAGGCAGGGGCTTTTCAAAGTGATAAATCTTAGAGATTACGGCTGCTTTGAAGAGTTACAACAATTAAGGCTCGACTGCTAACGTTATAACAGACAATCAGAAATTATACACTGTAATGAGGCCGCCTTTCATTGAGGGTTTGATGCTGCAGCATCACCTCATCCTCTTTCGAAAACGGACACAAGAGACAAAAATGTATTGGCCTTTCAAAGTATGATTGGAAAGAATGAACTTTTTTATTTAATTCAACTGTCGCTCGCGGGATTTCCAGGAATGGTAAATATTTTTATTCTAGAAATATTTGACGAACACGATTTTGCGGACTGTGCCGTGATCTAATATTGAGTAACGTTGGCATGTCACGACGCAAATTTACTGGCAAAATACAAAATCATTTTCTGCCCAGGTAGTACAAGGTACGAAATTGCGCCAGGTAATTTCTTGAAAATGTCGCACGAACGTCCCGGCAAAACGCTTTCGCGCACCGGTTTCGAAAAACCGAGAGGTGCCGAGAGGATTAGAGCGATTTAAGATAGAATCATTAGTTGCTATATAAATCCACCTCTGCATTCAATACTTAGTTTTTCTTTTAATTATACAAGAAATGTCGAGACATTTGATGTCAGCCGAGACGGCTGACATCTCAACCCTGAAAAATGGAATCTTTATGTTACAAGATGCGGTAAGATGCCAATTTTCTCGTTTGTTACTTGCGTAGGGAAAATGACAAATTTGTCAGAAGACGATATGTTATAAAGAAAAGTTCGACATTAGAAAGATCGTCTCTGATTTCCGAGACTGTGCTTTCAATATTGTATAATCCAAAAAACCGTATCGGGTAATAGTTTCTATTTACCTTCTTTCCGTAAAAGTTTTGGAATTTAAGTTTAACTGTGTATTTTTGCTGCTAAAAACGTGTACGTTTGGCAACCTACGACGAAAAATGGAAAATCGCTCTAGTCCACCTCTCGGCACAGTTTTTCGAAACCGGTGCGCGAAAGCGTTTTGCCGGGACGTTCGTGCGACATTTTCAAGAAATTACCTGGCGCAATTTCGTACCTTGTACTACCTGGGCAGAAAATGATTTTGTATTTTGCCAGTGAATTTGCGTCGTGACATGCCAACGTTACTCAATATTAGATCACGGCACAGTCCGCAAAATCGTGTTCGTCAAATATTTCTAGAATAAAAATATTTACCATTCCTGGAAATCCCGAGCGACAGTTGAATTAAATAAAAAAGTTCATTCTTTCCAATCATACTTTGAAAAGCCAATACATTTTTGTCTCTTGTGTCCGTTTTCGAAAGAGGAAAAAAGTATTGCGCGCATCTCAAAATAATTTATGATCAAAGACAACTTAACGCAAGATGCAATTTAATTTTAGGACAACTCAAAAAAGCTATCTCGATTAACAAATTGGCTCGACTCTGTGACTCGGCTGCGGGATTCGTCGTCAAAAGGACACGGCTCGTATGCGTATCTATTGACCGAAAGAGGCGATCGCCATGCAAATAGAAAGAGGTAAGTGGAAAAGGATAGACGGCGGTGGGACACAAGTGTAGGATGAGGGCGCAAGGGAGGCGAGAAAAGAGGGTAGTGGTTTTCTCGTCAAAAAAGATGAAGTCACCGCGGTTTCGGGGAGGGTAGCTGCACACATCGGCGAGCGGGGCTGCGAGGTCGGGGGTGCGTTCTTTAAGGTAGGGGGCATGCGCGGTGTCCGGGGGTGCAGGACGGCGCTCGGAGGTTAGTCGCCTGCCAACATCACGACGTGCCGCTCGCGCCTCGCGGTCGTTGGATTTACACACGCACTCATTCTACTGTTCTGCCACCCTCGCTGGCCGTCGCGCTTCCGCGATTCGCGCGTCGACGTCCGGGAAGTGATCCGTCAGTGGTTCACCATCCGACGCGAGAAACCGTCCGCGAGGCCTTTCCGGATTTTTCTTTTTTTCCCTTTGACGGGGTGAGTTCCGCGAGGCATTGAGTGGCGACTTCGAAACTCCTCGAACAGTGCGTGTGTTCGCGCGACGACGACGATCACGACGACGACGACGACGACAACCATCACCGACCACGACAGTGATAGTGACGTCGACGACGACGCTCGCGTCTGCTCCTCGAGGACGCGGTGTCGCGTTTGGACGGTGTTCCGATCGACTCGTTAGAATGTGGATCGCGTCGCGGCCACGGACGAAGAGCGATTGACGCGCGCGATTTGTTCGCCAGAACCCACCGGAGACCCGGCGAGGAGCGCATCGGCGAACGCTCGTTCCCGCGATCGATGGCGCGAATCGAAGTGACCGATCGCGACGCGATGACGGCATGAAAGTGCGCGCATTCGTTCTCGGGACCAGCTTGTGATCCGGATCGCGTCCACGACGGACGGCGATCTGTCGTGAGGCTCGCGGTATCCTCGCGAACGGCCGCGACGGAGACGCGGGCCGGAAGTGACTGCACCGTACGTGTCACCGCCACTGCGGCGAACGGCCCGTAAAAGTGCGCGTATAACTCGAGGGGCCGGTATTCTTACCCGCGGGTCTATTGTGCGGCGAGGAAGGCTCACGGGGGATCTCGCTCTCGGATTCGGCAGGATTGAGGTGCATTTTGCGGCGATCCGGATGCGTTTTTGCGGCACGCGCTGCGGACGCGGAAGCGCTACCTCGTCCAGGTGTTTCGGAAAGTGTAGTTGCGAGATCCGTAAGTGATGCCCGTCAGGGCTCCTCTATGTCTATGGTGCGCGAGGGTGCACATCGCCGGGCCTCCTGTGCAAGGGGAGCGGACAGTCGTGTGCCTCCACCTCTGCAGCGGGGCTTAACTTTTGAATTATTCTCGAGGGAGTTATCCGCGCGGCGGGTGTTCAGGCTTGGATTAGGTCGCTGGAATACCTTCGACAAAACTCACATTCTCGTCCGAATAATCAGGTGTACTGACACCATTGCACAAGTGCCTTTGTGGAAATTTATTTCCTTGCGAGGGAAATTAGACGGAGGACCGTCTAAAGGAAAAAGAAAGTTTAAGACGGGAGAATCTTTTTGGATGTAACGTATCGATTCTTTGATCGAGAAACGCATCGAGGAAGAAAAGAAGGAAGCGATATAAAATTCTCCATCATTCCAATAGATCCATCATTCATGTTTCGTCATTGATATTCCGTTTTTAATTTGATGAATTTAATTAACTTAATCTGTTGATCTATCGAATCCGAGTGGGAAGAGAAGTTGGGTGGAAAGTTTAATTAATTTTAATATGATAATTTTATCTAATTAGTTTAATAAACCTAATTAGGTTATAATATTGTTGGTTGCGACAATATTGTTGATTCATAAATGCGTGTGCTTTAAGATTGAATATATAGCATATTTAGTCGGTAATAATTAACAATGAGGGCGCAATTAACGCGTTGTTTAAAACATCGCTCTAATAATCGTACAATGCGCGTGTTCGTAGGTGTTCGTAGCCGCGTTACGTATAATGACGCTTGCTACAAAAGGTCACAATAATAATAGCAACAATTTTGGCAGCAGCTCGGTGTAATAATAACAATAGTACTCTTAATAATGGCGCCGCTTGTGTCGACGCTTTGGTAGATTGAAGTACGCATTGCGTTACATTATTGCCAACAATGAGCAATAATATTTGCTCGCAGTAACTGATGGGAAATGCACGCTTGATTTTCTAATGAAATTTTATGCCGTTTTCGCGTGGGACGCGATGATGAGCACGGTAGATGGGCGCGGGAAGCTTCGATTTGCACTCCAGACGGAAAACGTAATACAATTTATCAGCGATGCCGCGTGAATTTTGGTGCCGAATATGCAATCGACTGTACATGCTGAATATGCAATGCGTTCTCCAACTTATATTTCTGGCGGAAGGAATTTTATTGGACGGGGTCCGCGCTCTCTTTCTCTCTCTTCCTCTCTCCTCCTCTCTCTCTTTCTCTCTTTCGCGGCAGTGCTTTGCGCTGTTAGGCAATAAAAATTCTCAAAGTTAATCGATTATCCTATGGACTCGGGAGTTTAGGACTCGCGTTTTTAACTGTAGAGCAGTTTAGTGTTTGTTTATGGACTTTGCGCGTATGACGCGCCACTGAAATTATATTAGCTATACACAGGAAGCAACGTAATGGAATATTCAGGTCGGTACAATATAACTTTAGTTAATCACGTTTATTGCGCAGCGCGAGCGAGTGTGTCTCTTTTTTCCATTCAAGTGTACGGGATATTCGCGGCGGAGTTACTTGCGATGTCGGCGACGATGAATTATCAATTCAGTTGACACTAATATGACTTCAATCGACCGATTGAAATTGTGTTCACCAATGACAATTGATTCCAATCCATATCATCCCGTTCCTCCATAACGCACGTAGATATTTATCGGTAAATCATATTTACCTATCTCTAACATTATCGAGCGCATTAATGAAGCACTGTGTAAACATAACGGGAGACTAAAGTTGCAAGAAAACAATCGGGGTCTAGTTGAGGATGTTAGTGTAAATAATTTCTATCTTTAAACCATGGCAAGATATAATATTTGAACATGTGATAACGTATGCGTCGAATTCTCCTCCAGATTTTGCAACGCTTTTGCACCGAGCCATTTTGAATCTTAATTACTTTGATGTTAATAAAATCCAATATCCATTTCTCCAAATTAATAAACTATTAAATCAAAGAATTGATTGATTCTCGTGTAAGAGGATGCTTGAAAACTTTAGCCACAAAATACTGACTTTTTCTGCAAAATTATCGTACTGCGATTGCAGAGAATTATAATGTTCTTAGACAGAGAGAATATGTGCAAAAATGAATTGGAGAGTTGCTCAATATTGAGGAAAACGGTAAACAATTTTTAAATTAGTATCTCGAGCTATCAGTTGGCGCAAATATTTACTTGATAGAAAAGCTATATAGTTTATAATAACACATATCGAATATGTATTTGCTTCCCTCAGGAAAATTTAAAAATACATTGCTTTATAATTAAATTTAGTAGTTTAAAAATGTACGCAACGTTTATAGGAAGATGTCTATATATGCATGTTTAGGTTTTCCGCTAAAGATCGATTGTTCTAACTTCTTGGTAAGCTACTTAACAGTTAAATGTGACAAAACATGTGTCTATCTTCGTTTTTTCTTTAAATTAGACAAAGACAAACATATGATTTAACTATTACGCAGCTTAGAGATTAGAACAATGAGCTCTAAATCTAAAAGCAGTATACTAATTTTAAATGCAACACATATTTATATAAGACTTATACACGGAGAAAATATTGTAGCGAAAATCACATTAATATTCTACTTCTTTTTATGTTACTTTTGCACAGATGTACTGAAATTGTAATATAAGTTACTATAGAAACAGCAAATTTGACAATCTACCTATTTGATAAAAAGAAACATTCAAGTAATTACAACAATTGTATAGTAAAAAGTCAAATGTGCATAACGTTTTTAAACGAGTACATAGTAATTGTGGTCATAATTCTGTCCACAAATTAGAAAAATGTTGCAATTCTCGCTACAATATTTTCTTCATTCATGTATAAGAAATACGAGAAGCGATCGTGTTATCGGCATTTCTGGAGCTCGTACATTTCGGCACTTTCTTCAAGAAAAAAGGAGAAGAAAAACAGAGCGACAAAAAAGACTCGCTCATTTGAGAGTCGCTCGCGACGTTTGAGAGTCATTAAGAATGCGTGGCGACCTATTCCTTCCTCGCGCTGCATTTCGGTGCGCCGGAAACAGATGGTGTTTGAACGGCACGAGATCAACGCTATTGTTGCACTCGTGACACGTGCACGGGATTTAGGCTATCGCGGGCACGCGAAATAGGTGATCCCCCGGTAGTCAACTATTCATCTTCATTCACGAGGCGTAATTTCGCGAATTGCCGTCCATCGATCGCGTCCTTCGTGCCGTTTCGGAATACGCGCGCCGGAGAAATGGCCAGTATTTTCTGACACAATAGCCGGAGTAGTGGAGATTACGCGCGTGCCCGTTCGATAACGTGCTCTTCGTTCGTGCACATTAACTGTAGAATTTTTTCCCGTCGACCAGGCTGTGTCGTAATGGATCGTCCCGTTGCTTGTCGCGGATACACTAGTGGTACGCGAGGCGGACTTGTTAAAACGAGTAATTAACAATGGGTGTCCATTATCAGCTTGTTTCATGGCACTCTAGTGCCCGCTGGTGATTCTTTAGTGAAACGCGATTCAATCATCTGCATTACGCACGCATTGTCAGTTACCGTGTCTCTATCGCGAAGTGAAACAATTTGAGGAACAAAAAACAGAATAACGGCAATCTCCCGAGCATATCCATGATAAGATCGCCACAGAGCGACGATAAGGACAGCAAATTTCGCGTCGTTGCGTATAAGTAAAGTTAACGCGCCGGGAGTTATGGGGCTACAGTACTCTGAAAAGGAAAAATTAGATAAAATTTGGGGAGTTTTGAAGAGTTGTAGATTAATCCTTTTAACCTGAATTAATTTTATTTGCAAGAACAATTTTTTCTGTATTCATTATTACTTCTAGTAATTTGAAGATGATATCTGATTTTTTCATAATTTTCCAATGAACTATTTTGGAGAAATCAAAATGTTTCAGAGAACTAATCCTTTGATATGATTGTATTATTTTCAGTGTAAACTTTATATAACAATATTCTGTATAATAATAATTTTATACTTTTTATACGTAATAATGTACGAGAATATTTTATATAGTCCACTTTTATAATAAATAAATGCAACATTAGTAAATTATTTATGAGACGGCCAGCGCGTCAGAGTGAAGAGACAACGAGTACCGATAATTTATGACATATTATTTTTTATTACCACAACTTATATAAGATTAAAATTCTGTCTAGAATCATGAGAGACAGAGTTATCAACAACGTTTGACAGTTTGACGCGAAAAATATCCATTAGTTTAGCGTCTGGATCGATTCAAAGCATACGTGTTGCTTCAGAGCAATGACGGGTTAATAAAATGGGTTAATAAAAAAGCGTTAATAAAAAGGCTTAATAAAAAAGGCTTAATAAAAAAGGGTTAATAAAAAAGTGTTAGTAAAAAAGTGTTATTAAAAAGTGTTATTAAAAAAAGATTAATAAAAACAAAAGAGCTAATGAAAGTATGAATTTTTTGTTATGTATATATGTCTATTAATAATATCTTGGTATGAAAGAATATTAATATCATTGTATCCATTTTAATTCTATTCTGTAAAAGAATCATCGGTGACTTCAACGGTGACGATACTGACATCAGCAGGAGTGATCTGAAATTGATATCATACATTTCTTTTATTCATTATTTTATTTATCGGTTCTCACGAAGGCTTTTACACAAATTTCAAACTCATTATTTATTTATTTCACAAACTTAAATTTTTCAGTGAAAATTTGATTTTTTATAACTAATGTTTTGCGAAATATTGTTTTTCTTTAAAATTCGTTGCATGAGAACCGATAACTTTAATCTGAACGAATAAAAGAAATTTATTAATATTGATTCTAGATCACTCCTGTTGAGATTAGGATGACTATCATTGAAGCATAATTCTTTTGCAGAACAGAATTGAAATGGGCGGGGTGATGTTAATATTTATTATAGAGATATTGTAAAATGTATTT